GCACAAGTAACTCATGGATACCAGCTTTGTATAAGCAGCTATTTACAGCTGCTTACAAGTGACTATAGGTCACACCATTCGTGAAGCAGTGGAAGGGAATTTGAACAGATGCATTCAGTGATATCAATAAGATTCCTTTTGTGCATGTAAGAAGTATCGAACATGTTCCACACTGAAGCGGCACAGGAAAACTGTTATATTATAGTTAATAATTAATGGATTGGAATCAGTTGTCATTGCTGACATTCCTCAGTGTCTCAGTGGCTGTGCTATTCTGAAACTATTTTGAGCTGTTTATCTCTGTGAAGCAAATCCAAAAATAAGATACTTTCATGAATTTGTTGTTAATTTAAAAAAAAGATAAAATAAGTTGATATTATGAATAGCCCATGATTCCCTCCATAATGAGGGATACTACTGATATTTTATAGTCCTGATCCTGAAACAACACTGAATCAACACCAACGCTTCAGTAATTATTGAATAAAGATTCTGAAAACTGGTGCTCTTCTCTGATATTTGCAATTACAAATTCTCAAGGATTTTGAACTCCTCTATGCTTCTAGAACAGGGGTCAGCAACCCCCGGCACGTGTGCCGAGCACGGCATGCGAGGCCATTTTGCTCGGCACACCACTGCCAACCTGACTTCTAGGCAGCTGCTGCCAGCCACAAAGCTCGGGCTGCTCCCGGCAGGCAGCTGGGTGGTTGCAAGCCCTGCTGCAAGCAGAGCAGGCTCCATGGTTGACAGCAGCTACCCAGAGCCTGGGCCAGTTGCAGCCAGAAGGCTGCAAACATCTGCTCTGGGCTCTGGCATTAGCTCCATACTGGCAGGTGCACGCTTGCAGCTGAGCCCGCCTGACTCACACCCACTCCGAGCCCAGCCCCAGCCCAGCCCCGCACCAGGACGAGGCTGGTGCTGCCCCTTGCCAGGAGCACCACAACTTTTGTGGGCTTAGCTGTGCAGGGTGGGTGGGTGGTTGAGCTGATAGGCAGGCTCTGGGCCGGGGCCTCGGCCAGCTGTGCTGCAGCCTGGGGGCTGGCTCCCCGGGGAAGCACAGGCGCTCTGGCAGGACCAGGGCATTGTTGGGTCGGGCTTTGTCCAGTGGCCCAGGAGCCCAGCTCCGTGTGCCTGGACATCTGCTTCTGTGTGTCTGTGTGTGCACACGTGTCTGGTTCTGTGCGTCTGTGTGCGCACACGTGTCTGGTTCTGGGTGTGTTCTGGTTCTCTGTGTTTGTGCACATGGTTCTCTGCGCATGTGTGTGTGTCTGGTTCTCTCTCTGCTCTCCTTTTTCTTTCTCTGTCTCCTTTTTCTCTTATTTGTCTCTTTTTTTCTTTCTCATTGCAACATGCTCAACAAAAAAGGAATACACAACAACAAAGGCAACATTTATGATTATTAAATATACTAATATGCAGTGTGTCCTGCTTACCCCTCCTGCCCCGCCCTCCCTCAGCCCTCATTTTGTTTTTCTGGCATGCCGGCAGTCTGGCACCTTCCAAGGTAGACGTTGTGGTTTTTTCAGCACTCTGGCCAAAAAACGTTGCCTACCCCTGTTCTAGAATATCACACAAATAATGGTGGTTGGAGTAATTCTGACAGATGTCCTGGATCATCTGAAAGTACAGTGAAAAACTTCAGAATTAGGTACTTTCAGAACTTAAACTTATTTATTCTAGGCGCCAGAAGATTTCTGGCAAGTTACTGGAAGAAAAATACTTCACATAGTTGGGATGTATAATTTAGGAATACATATTAGTGAGGTAATGGAGACTGAAGAATTTCCAAAGGTTGTTTTGAAAATATCATTCATAGGGAAACAAATCTCTGGAAGACAGGAAAGTACTTCCTCTTAGATGGTATGAAATGGAAACTGGATGAATAGACTCATGACATCAGGAAGAACTTGTGAATGCAATATTATGGGAGAACTTTTGGTAAGATGACTATAAATCACATAAGCAGTATGTGGATCTCCAGTAGACATCTGCAGTTTACTTTGGATCAGAGGATTCTTTTTAGGTCTAGATTCACATGACCATGAAGTTGTTGAGAGCCTACCTGATCCACTGGACCAGTTACTGGCACAAGAAGGGGCTGCCGTTTTCCTAACGGTGGATTATGAAATCAGATGAGAGCATGTTACAGCAAATAGTGCAACTTTTAGAACTATCTCCATGTCATATACTTATTTGTGAGAGCTGGGGGTGCTATGTTTAGACACTTACTAAAATACTGTATGTGTTTGTTTTATTCCAATAAATATCTGAAGAAGTAAAAATTTTGTGTTCAGGAGTCATTTAATTATTTTATATCTTGGGTGAATTGAGTGTCTGAAATTAAGGAATAAAAACTAGATACCCTTATCCACAATCTTTTGTTAATTGATTTCAGTCCCACACTATTTCTGGCCAGTAATGGCACATAAAGCCAAAGTGAGTGGGGTTTTTCTGATATGGATGTTTGCCCAGATCGGTGGAGACTAGGATGGTATTGTTAGTCTGTGATTTCAGTAGGAACTCAAATTTACTTCTCTATTTAAAACTTGGCCAAATACATTAACCCCATAAACCATATAACCTTGACATCCCTCTGTCCCCCCACTCTGACACACTTGCGCACAAGCACGTGCACACCCCCCCCCCCCCCCCCCCACTGCCCCCCCCCCCCGGTTTTGAAGGACATAATATATTTATCCCTTGGTTAAATTCTGCCAGGCTTATATCTTGGAGAGGCCCATTAATTTCAGTGGGATTGCACAAGGCGAGGTTTAATTCATGCTCCACCTGTTACATGACACAGCTCCATGTAGTCTATTTAAAAAGGGAAGCCGTCTTTAAGAGCTAGTTTTACTCCCACAGTCTCAGGAACTACAATATTGTGGTTTTTGTTGAAATAACACAATCCACATAAAATGTCTTGTGGGGGTAGGGGTGAGGAAATAGGGCCTAGTTCTGCCATCTTTACTGTAATTAACATTTTGCTCCTTAGATAGGTCCTGGGGTGGTGATGAAGAGGGTTGGTGTAGAGTCACAAAGAACATATCCTAACCTGGCTGCTAACAACAAAAGGCTGGGCTGTCCCTTCTCTACTCCAGCTACTATTGTGCATTACATCTTTTTGCCCTGGGATAAAAGGGTTGCTAACAACTCAGAGGTGACATGTGCCACTGAGTAATCTCCATGTTTCTGTGATCACCAGAATTGCTATTGATGCAATTGTGAAATAGCTCACACTCATTTAGGAAAGGTAGTAACCACAGCATGAGTGATCTTCCAAAGAAACTCCAAAGGTTAAGTACAATTGTTCTATAGGCAATTCTCAGTCAACATCTAGATGACTGCTCTCCTTGTGTCAAATGGTATTTTGAGTAGCTGCGAACTTACAAAGACTTATTCTAATACTTTTCCTTATGTACCTTTTCTAAATGGTCTCATTGATTGTGATAACTTCTGCCACATGTAATCCTATTAGAGAATGTTAAGCTGCTCTATAGAAGAAAACCTTTTATGAAAGCATGACTTGTTCTTTTACTATAACACTTTTTATTAAAAAGTTGCAATTCATCCATAAATCTTTTGATTTGCTGGCTGATTCACAAAACCCCATCTAAAAGATTGACATTGAAGCTCTGCTGGTGGTGTGCTTTGCATTTAAATTGAAATAATGTAACGTGCACTAATGTGTTTTAGTGCACAGAAACAATTCATTTGTGAAAATGACATATTTTTAAAGTTGGGAAGAGAAGCTGAAAAAATGTTAATAGTTCTGTGTCTTAGAAGCCTTTGGAAATTTCCTACAAAATTTTCTATTAAAGCTGTGTTTCTTTATCTTTATCTGTTTCCAGGGAACCCCAAAGGTGCTATGCTGACTCACGGGAATGTGGTGGCTGATTTTTCAGGCTTTTTGAAAGTGACAGAGGTGAATACCCTGACTTGGAGAGTATTGCTACCTGCTAAGTGTATTTCATTTTGAATTTGTGGGTTACTTTGAATTAATTCAAGATAGAGAAATATCCCCATGGATGTAGGAAGTGAAATATCACTTTAAGAGCTCAATCCATTGAAAAAGGAGCAAAACTAAGCTCTCAAAGGTGAATGATATTAGATCCTTCACAGTGCTGTATTTTGGCCCTGCCCCTGCAAGATGTTGAGTACTTTTGGGAAGCACCTTCTGCTCCTTTTAAATCAATTAATTCAACTTGCAGGCTGCCAGAACCCTGCTAATATTCTAATTGGTGCTTACTACTAAAGAAAAAGTACTGTACCGTATTCCAGCAACGCCCATGCCACAAGCCAATCCCCAGGGGAAAAATTGACAGCCTTTCCATTTGTTTGATAGCATTGATTATGACTCCAATATATACATTATATGCTAACAACTGCCACCTATGAAATATATTCCAAAACTGGCCAGTAGTATTTAATTAAAAATACTTTGTTGCCTCCTGTATTTCACAAGTACAGTGTACTATGTAACATAAGTTGAAAGTACAAACCTGCCCAGTTTTTATAGGTGTGATACACTTTGTATAGTGTATCAGGTTGCATTTGAAAACAATTATTTCTATATGGGAAATGGAACAGTTCTAGCGTGCTAAATTTAAATGAGTAAAATAATGTACTGGTATGTACAGTACAGAAATCATTGACTATATATGTGAAATACCTTAACTGTAAGTAATAAACCACAGTGTTTTATCCTATTTAGGGCCAGTGCTTACAGTATTATCGTATTATGTCCTGAGTCTTGCATGGAAATACTTGTGCATGTGATTGTGAGCATTTCCATTAAACTCATATGCATAAGTGTTATAGCAAGATTGGGGCCTCAGTATTTTTCACTGCAAAATATTGATTAGATAATTCACTGTGTAAGCACTAAGGTCCAGATCCTTAGAGGTATTTATGCATTTAGTTCTTGTTGATTTTAATGGGAGTTATGCATCCACAAGCCTTTGAGGATCTGGATTTAGGCTTGATCCTGGAAGCTCAAGTGCAGCTGACTTAAACGGAGTTAAGCAGTTTGCAGAATTGAGTTCTGTGGGTCTGATCTGCTGTTCATTGACGTCAGCACAATTCTTTTCACTGACCTCAAAGTGCACTGGATCAGTACCTAAGCCTGATTCTAAATGGTTGCAGACTCAGGATTTTATCTGTCTCAGAACTGCTGGAAACAGTACGTGTGATAGCCACTGCCAATTTATAGTATGTTTTCTTGCAATAAGGAAATTGCACAAAGTATGGAAATGTTCAAAGGGGAAAATCATGAAATAAAATACGGAACAAAGTAGTAAAATACCAGAGATTTGAAATCTGCAAATTTTGTACTATATCAATGAAACTTTGTGCAAGAATTGTTTTGTTCAGTGACTTTATAATGGCATTGTTTTTAAAAAATCAACTTAAATATGTTTTTCTAAAACTCTTTTGTCAAATATCAAGGAAAGACACTTTCACTGCATCCAAACATAATATTTTTATGTGTTCACCCTGGAAAAAAACTTAACCATATTGACCAAATATAAAACAAAGGCACAAACTGTTTTTCCTTTTAGCAAAATTGGAAAAATGATGATTTTTCTCAGTAGTTGTTTTACACAGCTCTACTTATGTATCAGGTCAGTTTGAAGGAACATGTGGGCAAATTGGCAGGGCTTAAGATCTTAATCTGCTATATACAAGAGACTATTTGGGCTGTGAATAGATGAAAGAAGACACTGTAATACATGATCTATGCCACCAGCTGACCTCAGTAGATGGTGTTAGAAACACAGGCTAAAAAGCAAGTCAGCTTGAATATGTCTTTCTATGGGATAGAAACTCCCGTGGTTATACCCTAGTCCATTGTACTGTGCCGTGGGTTGGCAGTTACACCAGAGCAATGGGACTGCCAGGTAGATGGTACTTTGTGTCACTAGAGCCTTATACCTTTATTGCACTGATATAAACTGCTGACCATGGTGCAGTGTAATGGATAACCAAGCATCACTTTTCATAATACTATGGAATCCCTATTTTATGTAAAGATGCTATTTTCCTTATTTTGTGCTTTTATGAGGCTAGAGCTTTTAGGCTAGATCAAGTCATCTAAGATGGGACTCAGTTGGGCTCAGGCAGTTAATGCCAAAATAGTGACCAAAACATCCTCTGTTCAGTTGCTGCCTGATCCTGGAGGCACCTAAATTTGCAGGACCTTTCTGTTTGCCCTGAAAATTTTCTGGGCACCTGCAATTGAGCCCAGATCTTATCTAATCTGAGGAGCTAGTTACCCAACACCTGTCCAGAAGCCAGAAACTCAGCAGAGAGGTGCCTGTATCCCTTGGGGGCCCTAATCCCACTGGTCTTTTAAGAGCATGCTTAACATATATTCATAGGGATAGGTCTTCTCTCAAAATATAGCTACACCGGAAGACAACTGGGGGCGGGAGGGGTGCTACTACTTCCACCTTTCATATAATAGCTGTCTAGGTAAAGTACTTGTACAGGAGGAAGGAGACCCAGATCCATTTCCCTTCTCAGCCTGAGGGGTTTAAACCCACAATGCTTATGCCCCAGGAGAGGCTCCTACCCCTCAGACTATAAGCGAGACTGGTAAAGGCTCCCTATGCCTCTTCAATTCATGTTAGGCTATTATGCAGAAAGGAAAGCAAGATACCTGTGGTCATGGAGGAAGTGCTAAAGGGGAGCGTGACCCTGTAGCGCAATGATTAGAGAACCCACCTGAGTTCTGCTCCCTGCTCCCTGGAACACTTCTGGATTTTATAATGGATAAATAGACCTCCAGTTGAGGAGGGCCCTGAACGTGTTTCCTGCTTCCTGTGTAAGTCCCCAAACCAAAAGTCCATTACATAAAATGCAGTGACCACCTCCTCCCCCAACACCTCTTAAAAGAGAACAGTAAGCCCTGTTTAGACAAAATGTGTTGGAGTGAATGCCAGGCTCTAGATTCCTGGTGGATAGAGGAATCTGCCTGCAGCCCTCACTTAGGCTCTTTAGTGTTGGGGAGGGTGGCATTTTAGGTACAGCTAGGGTCTCGGCATTTCCTATTGACTAGCATCAGCATGCTGGCTGTTCTGGATCCCTTTTTGAGGTGCATATCTCTCCCCACGCATAGGGAGCTTAGGCACCTAACTCTGGGCTCCAGGTTATGGTGCCAACCATGTAGGTACAGGTACTCCTCACTTAATGTCGTCCTGGTTAATGTCATTATTATGTCGCTGATCTATTAGAGAACATACTTGTTTAAAGTTGAGCAATGTTCAATTATAACGTTGTTTGACCGCCGCCTACTAGTAGGTAACTACTGTGACATAATTAGATTCATTCAACATCGTTTCACTTTAAGTCGCATTTTTCAAGAATGTAACTACGGTGTTAAACAAGGAGTAGCTATATCTATGTCCCTTACAGGACTTTGATAAATTTCAGCACAATTAAGGAAAATAAGGAGACAAAATCTTTGGATTATTTATATATCTATTTTTAATCATTTTTTTTTCTCACTTCTCCCACACTTGTGGGGCAGTGAGAAAGTCCATGCTGAAAATTAAGAGAAGCACTAACAAATAATGATTGCACCGGAATAATCCAATGTGCTATTCTAACTAAAATCAATCATTAACCTTCAGAAGACAAATTCTTTCCCTTTCAATCTAATGCTCTGACTCTTCAATTAGATCCACACAGGTGGAATTTTGTACACCCAGAGAGCTCCACTAACTTCAGTGGGGCCCACATTATGCATAAAAGTTCACCTGCGTGGACCCAACTGCAAGATCATTACTATAACTAAGGGAAAAGAACCCAAGTCTTTGTAGTATAAAACTTCTGATAACAGTTTTCTGCTTAATAGGTACCGTTTGTAAGCCCAATCTTCGAACTTAAGCACCCAGGCTAAGGGCCAGATGTCAGCTGTGTTAAGGTCACTCTACGCTAGTAGAATGGCACAAATTAACCTTAAATGCTGCCCGAGTGGGACGACTGAAGGCTTCAGTGGGGTGTAGGAACACTGAGCTGTTGTAAATTTGGGATAGCTGGGTTTCAAGCAAGCACCCCTTAGTTAGGGCTGGGTGATGTTCTTTAATATGAATAGTCAATTCTCTGAAAAATGCAGTTTCAAGTTCCTAAAAAGTATTCATAAATTCAAATTAAATTTGGTGGCTAGTTTCAGCCAAAAGAAAAAAAAAAAGGAAAAAGTCAAGATATTATCAATTCAAAGCTGAGCCTAATTTAAGTGTAAAAGGATGAAAACACTGGCTACACAATGACAATTTCGGACTGAAACTGTCTGAAACTATTTTTTGTTCCAACCAAAAAGAATTTTTTGCATTTTCTTTTTCAGTGACTAAAGCCAACAACATTTTGTTTCTTGTTAAACCCCAAATAAATTATTTTTGGCTTCCAGCACCAAACTGAAAAATTAACTATTTGGACAAGACTGTGTCTGAGCCCTGGCTCAGGGACATTTTGGGTATGTCTACATTGCATACTTGGTGCTACTGGGTGTGTCTACTCTTAAGCTTCCTCTGCCACCATAATCCAGCTCAGTTGACAGAGCTCTTAAGGTTGCCTATAGGACATAGTTCTGGAGTGGTTTTGCCACTGGTTTTCCAAGTTTGGCCTGTGCAAGCAAGAATGGATGGGCAGGGCATGCTTGAGAGTGGGTGTCTGCAGCAGCATTGAGGACATGGTGTAGAATACACCCTTTGTGACCAGCTGGGGAAGGACGCATTATTCCAGGGCCCAGAAAAGATGGGAAGCCAGAGCAGAACATGCTTTGCCAACCCCCAGGCGGTTCTCCTAGAAGCGTTCTAATAGAACTGCCTTATCGCATACTGGGAGTCAGCTTAGGCCATGGCCAACTGCAGTATGGAGGAAAGTGCAAAAGTGTTTCAGGATCCTTTGCCTCTTTCCATCTCAGCTGCACAGTGGGTGAGTAGAAGCATGTGTGTGAACTCGGCACAGCTGAGGATTCTGCCCATAATATTCAGATCCTGACTGGATGTTTCAACAGGCACTTGAGTGCCCAGAAAACCGTTTTTTTTCTGAGATAAATGATCACTCAAGAGTGCATATCTTGATTAAAACCTCTGTCTGAAAATTGGGCTCCTCCTCAGAATTAGCACCTGTTTACTACATGATTCGAATAAATCTAAATACACCTCCTGCAGCGGAGAGAGGTCTCCGTTGCTCTTTGTGTGCATCCTCATGCTCTTTAAGACTCCTACTAACATAGTTTCATTGATGTCATGGCCTAACGCTTCACTTTGTATGCTGCTTTCTTTCTCTCTTGATGATCTTTACCCTTTTGCACCTCTGGTGCCATTTTTCTTTTTATTGTTTTATGACTTTCTTGTTGTCTTCCTGTCAGTGTTTCTTTCCTTTCTGTCTCCCATGCCCTTCACCTGCAGAAAGTGATCTTTCCGAGACAGGACGATGTGCTCATCTCCTTCCTGCCTCTGGCTCACATGTTTGAAAGAGTTATACAGGTAAGAAACCTGTTTGAACTGACTGGGCCTTGTGGGGCTCCTTGTGTTTTCTTCCAGAGTCAGTGGTCTCCTACTTGTGAGGATGTACACATATCCTATTTGCCTTTAGCACACATGTTTGAGAGAATGGTACAGGTAAGGTCCTAGCCTCTGTGGAAGTTATCTTTTTCCACACAAAAAAATAAAAGAGTAACTGTAGCAAAATTACTGATGATATGCTGTGAAATGCAAATAGTTTGTACTCCAAAAGGTGTCATGGGCACAGCACCAAGGCTCCGATTCTGATCTCAGCTACACGAGACTCTCTGGAGTTGCCTTGGCTGATAGCAGTGTATATGACATCAGGATATTGCCATTGGTACATGTGCAACAATCATTACCTGCATGATTTTTGGCGGGGCAGGTCTTCAAAATATTATAGGACAAGTAATCATGGCAGTAGAAATAATTTTCTTTATCAGCTGAAATATTTTATTGCATAAATAAGCAGAGTTATGAACACTTGCAGAAACTTAAAGGCAGGAAATGTTTTTGGCAGGCCAGCTTGTCATGTGCAATAACTAGAAGCTGTCATCTCTTGGAAATAATGGCAAGCAGAGCTGATAACTCATGGCAGCCCACAGAAGTGGCTTACTGGCTTTCCCAGTCAGACAGGTGATAGCTTGTGCTACAACCCCTGTGTTGTGCATGGGATCAGATTAGATGTTCACTATGATCACTCCTAGCCTAAAAATCTGCATTACAAATTGGCTGCAAAGTTTGGGTCTGGATTCATTTCTAATTTTAAACTTTCTCACAGTTCAGGGATGACTCAGGTTTGATCTGAGTCTATACTTTTTGTCACAATCCACAGTTTTCCAAAGCCTTAGTAACATCTGTGTCAGACGTAAACTACTCACTGCTAGACTAAGAAATGTATACTTTAGAAATATGTGATTCATAAAGGATTTAGAGTAAAGTCCAGAATAGCATGTAAATTATGCATAAATCTCATTTCCCAGGGCAGTTTGGTAACTATACAGTGATTTATGCGATGGCATTCTTGTGTTATACAAATCAGATTTGCCGGGAGGTATTGTCAAAAATATTGAGGATTACAAAATCCTGTGACACAAGGAAACTAGAAACATTTGAAAGAACTCACAGGATGTTACTATATAAAAGAAGCATCTTCCTGTCAGTCATGAAGTAGCTAAGAGTAAACGGCACAACTGCCTCCAGTGCAAAACCTCCTTTATTAGACAAAGGTGTTCAAAAAGGCATACAAATCAACTTTTAAAAGACTCTTAACATTTATGTGGCAAATAGAATAGCGATTCTCTGATTTCAGGCACTTTTATGCGTTCTTCAAACGAATGCAAGCTCCTAAGATTAAATCTCCATATCCCACCTACTCAATTTTTTAAGTGCTCTGTCCATGACTGCCTTTTCCCATATGGATTTTTAAATTTCTTCCTCCTTTGCCTGTGCATTATAGCTTGTGAATTAGACGGGGTGATATTCTTAAAACCATAACCTCATATTTATGAAATACATATAGTTTTAAAAGTCAATAATCTGTATATAGAGTTTCTCTGAGTACAGTTGAAAAAACAGAATGGAGGCATTCAGTTGCAAAGGGAATAGCACAAAAAAGCTCATAACTCTTTAAGGAACTTTTCTTTGTTTAAGCTATTTTGAGAGAGAGAAACTATGCCAAAATAATTGTATGCATTTCATTTGAATTTTGAAAAGCAATGTTAGAGCACTTGACTAGGACTCAGGAGACCTGGGTTCTGCAACTGTCTGCCTGGAAAATTAGTTTTCCTCAGTTTCTTCACCTGTAAAAACGGGACCATGATACCCATCTCATTTGTGTAGTGTTTTGAGGTCCACTAATGAACGGCACTAGGTAGCATTCTTATCTCAGAAAGATCGTTGTAAAATACCATTCTGGGATTTCACATTTACCTCTTGTCAGCCTAAACCAAAATTTGCCCTGTTTGCAAGTTAAAAGATGTTAGGTGAAATCCTGGTGCCTTTGAAGTTTTGTCATTGATTTCAGTGAGACTAGAGGGTGTCACTTGTTATTCCAAAGACCCTGCACTGTAAACTCAGGAATCTAATAAAGATAAAAGCCATCATCCTTGCATGGTATGTAGCAAAGTAGTTCTACTGATGTCACTGAAATAATGCTAATATCTACTGGATGAAGATCTGCCCTCCTCCCCAATGTTTCCTTTCTGGCTGGTGCATCACCCCCGGTACTGAATAATTATGCAATTAGAATCTGGGTGACAGATTGCTGTAGGGTCCCGACAGACTCCAGATCCCCTTCTAAAAATAGTATTGTCTCTACAGTCCTAAGAACAATAAAGAGTAGTGATGAAACCCTGTATTTTAGTTTGTCAACTAACTAGCTATGACTGATTATAGTACACAAACAGAACAGCTTTAATGAGTATGCAAACAGTACTATTTTTATATACTTCTAAAACTACAATTTAATTGTCCAGTGGCCATCTATGTACAATCTATACTTTGCAGAATACAGTGCATAAATCAAAGGCTCTTTAGGTCATATTCAAAATGAAACTATATAGGTCTAAAATGCTGTAGTCACTATGAAGATAAAACTCCCTTTGAAGAGGGAACTCCCCTCTCCATACACAGAATTAGTCCTGTATGTAACAACTCATAGAATAACATATTATTACGAGCCATCTGTTGTCCATTTTACTTTTTAGTTAAAACAACAGAATTGCTAACTCTGGAAGAATCAGCTGTTTTCCTACTGGGAAACAACTTTTCCATAATGTTTCTTAAGATGTATTTCTTTATTATTAATAGGTTTTTACGCTATGAGCTGTTATGAGTAGATCTGGGACTTCTTTATCCCAGAGGTCAGGGCTGATCCAATATTCTGCATTAGGCCTTTCTCTTATTTAAGGAGAAAAAAGCCCAAACAGCCTTTCTGTATATTAGCATAACACAAGAGACATTTAAAGGATCCATCTGGATTTATTGAAAAAATAGTTCCTCCTATAAATATTATCTAATTAAATATTATGTTCAGCTAACAGCCAATAGCTATTCTTTTGAACCAGGGCAGTAATTCTGCATCACTCTGAGTGCTACTGATCCCAGGAGAATCACCTTAAGGTAGAAAAATACTCACTAGGACCTGACACCTACTCTCCCAGCTGCCAGAGCCAAGAGGCAGAGCAGACCTCTGGCTGATCTATGTGGCATCTGGTATAATTGGGAGCAGGCGTCTGGCTGATTTAGCCTATGCAGGAGACTCAACCAAGCTACTTTTAGCTCAGTTTTAAGAGATAGTGCTCTTTGCTCCCCTGTTATTTCAGTAGCACAAACATTGTGTTTAGTACAGGAAACTAGGGGCATACATCCCATTCACTAACTTGGAGTTACATGACTGCACTGGCACTGACTGCTTTGGAATTGTAGTACGGCTTAAGGTAGGGCAAGATTTTCAAAGGCACGAATGAGACAGGTGTCCAACTCTTGATGATTTCCTATGGGAGCTGAGTACCTGACTGCCCTTTGTGTCTTGAAAAACTCCCATTGTGCCACCAAAAATCCATTAAATTCAGAAATATATAAAACTACTAACAACAGTGCTGCAGAGCTTTGAAAACACAGCAACATAGTGTGTTACAGTGCTACACAGAGTAAGTGCAATGTTGAATTATCAAGTTAAGCTCTAAATAGCCTTTATTGATTTCCAGTAATATTATTTTAAATATATTCTAAAACCTATTCACAAAATTTTAAAAAAAGCCTAAACAAAGACATTGTGTATGGTAACTTAGCCTGTGTAGAGTTCCATGTTGCAGTAGCTAGACTACTACTGATACCCAAGCAGGCTTCTGTGGCTGCAGTATAGCTATTAGGGGTGTGTAAAGCAGGCTGTATTTAATTCACATTCAGCCTGATTTGGGGAACAGTGATTTGATTTGTTGATTTGGATCACTGTCCCAATTCAATTCAGCCAAATTCAAATCTGAAGATTCGATTCTGATTCAGAGAATCAGTGGTTTGGCCATAGACACAGCTGTAAATGTTTTTTCTACTTACCTCGAGGTACCAAGCACAGCTTGTGAATGCTGCAAGGGTGGGGCAGATGGAGTGTCCCACAGGAGCGTGGGGGGTCTGCTGCTGAGCATGAGGGGGACCCCCTGCCCCTCCAACTTGGTGATCGACCACGGGGGGACCCCGGGTGCCCCCCCAGACCCAGGAAGCACCAGTTGCTGAGCTGGGGTGTGGGGTGGGGGTCCCCTGCGCACTCCCCGGCAGACCCGGAAGTGAACTGGAAGTGCTGCTGGTCTACTTCTGGGTCCACCACCGTGCGCGCTGGGAACCCCACCATGCTCCTGTGGGATGCTCCATCTGCCCCACCATCTCAGTGTTCAGGAGCTGCCTGCTACCTTGAGGTGTGTAGAAAAAACATATAAAGCTGTGTGTACGTCCAAATCATTGAATCTCTCTGAATCTCTCCAACTTAATTTGGAGAGATTAAAGGGTCCCCTGATTCGATTTGGAGATTTGGCCGTCAAATTGGGCCGAATCTCCACCGAATCAAATCAGCGACCGAAGCTTCGCACAGCCCTAATAGCTATGTCCATAGTGTGAGCTGTGATTATTTTCCCTGCCGGTTCTTTGCTTGAGATTTGCAAGCATCCGGGGGATCTTCAAGGCTCTACATTGCACCCAGAAAAGGGAACTTTTTTGAAGTCTGGAAAGCTGGAAACTGGTTTAACATTTGCCTCATAATTCAGTATCTCCATAGTCCTCCTGGCTTCTGTGAGCCAGAAGAGTGCATGACCTGATGGCAGCAATAAAACCTGGGTCCTTTACTTTGTCCAAACTGTCATCTGTTTTCCCCCTGCTTCAAAGGAAATGCATATTGGGTCATAGTTGTTTCAGCTGCTATTTGCAGATGTTGTCAGAGGACATAAAAAGGCACAAAGAAAACCTCTTTTAACTGCAAAGGACCAGTATAGAGCTTTCATGAAGTTTAGTCCATAAGAAACTACTGTTTTCATAGCCTCAGAATATAAAGTGAATGTAAAGAAAATAGCAAGCAGCAGGATGTAGAAGCCCAGGCTGATATGGTTATCAGCATATTGATTGCTAGAATCAAATATCACCCTAATGCTGTCCCAAGGGATGTTTCTAGAACGTGCCCTATTGCCAGAAAATATACTCACAGTCTGATGGCCTAGCCTGTAATCTGTGATCTGAGCTTGTACAAACCACTATTTCTGTATATAGTGCACCCTTTACCATGTGGTTTAGATGTTTATAAAACCACACTTTAGCCACAACAATTAATCCAATCTTAGGAAAAGCTTTAAATAGAGAGAAGAGACAACTTGCCGCAAGGAACAGAAACAAAAAAAATAACCTGTATTCCTTTTTCCCATATTGCAGTCTGTAGTATATTGCCATGGGGGGCGAATTGGATTCTTTCAAGGAGACATCCGTCTCTTATCTGATGATATGAAAGCATTGCATCCGACCATCTTTCCTGTCGTACCAAGACTATTAAATAGAATGTATGATAAGGTGAGTTTAATTTTAATCTGTTTATAGCAATGAAGTTGATCGTTGCCTCACGCTACCCTGAGAGACTTTCTTTATCTGGGTTTTTTCCCCCCAACATTGTGAACTGGCATTTTTCCCGTATATCAGATGCCTTAGACTCAATCCTCAGATGGTGCAAACTGCTATAAACCCTTCTGCAGTCACTGAAATTATGCTGATTTACACTAATTGAGGATTTGGTCCTGATCCTGTTACTGCAGGTCATTGGTGACATACCAGGGGCTTCAGTGGTGCAAAATCAAGAGCCAAGACAAATCTGAATCCAAGACAGATGAGCCAGTACTTTCTGTTCCCTTAAACCTGTGCTGGAACTAGGTCCTCCCTCTTTACTGGGAGGGACAGTAGAAGGATGGGCAGGAATAAAAAAATGTATAAGGATTTCAACCCCGCAAGCACCCAGCTGACTTTTTGGCAAAAAATCCTTCGTTCTCCAAGACATTTGTGTAAGCAATCCTTGGAGAATGTTAGAGAGGATCTCTAGAGATCTTAGAGAGCCTGTCTAGTGGCCATTTTTATTGCATATGATCACCTTAGAATATTATCCTTGAGGAAAGAGCTGGATCTACACCACAAACTACTGACCCACATTTTTCTCATGTGCCAGGGTTTCTGGCTTCTCAGTACAGAGAGGTTCTAATCTGGAGATCCAGTTTGTGGTGCTGTCTGATGAAACTCGGGGAAACATGGTCTTTAGCACCTCAGCAATGAGCAGTAATAGTTGTCTGAGCTGTCATTATATTCCAGTTGCTCATCTCTTGTCCAGCTCCGCGGTTTTACTTAATCATAATATTATGCCTATGATAGAAATCCTGCAGAAGCACTCATCATGCAAAGGTAGTCAAACCTTCTAGTCTAGTAGTCAAACCTTCTAAGAGAAGAGTAAGCATCATTGAGAAGGGATTGAAGCAAAACATCATTTGAAATATTACTGTACTGGAGTATTAATTACATTGTTGGTATAAGAGCAATACTTTCACTGACATGAGCGGAGTTTATCTACTTAAACTGATTCTTTAATGTAAGGATATGGTACTTGATGCCATTCTGTCTTCTCTCAGATCTTTAGCCAAGCGGATACCCCATTAAAGCGCTGGCTTCTGGAATTTGCTGCTAAACGTAAAAAGGCAGAAGTTCGAAGTGGAATCATTAGAAACGACAGTTTGTGGGACAAAATTTTCTTCAATAAAATACAGGTAATGATTTGAAAAAGTAAATGTGAGCAGTAACTCAAGAAACAGATGGAACAAAGCTTTGCAATTTCTGCCAGAGACATGCCCGCACCCCGCATCAATTAGCTGTCAATTAAAGGTCAATACCAACACTGCATACTTCAGTGTTCCAGTAAATCACGAAATGGGGCAGGATATCATTTTCAAGGATTGTCACAAAGAGAAGTAGCTTATCTCTGATGAAAATGAGTTTAACACACTTGTTTTCTTTATGGATTTCTGTCACATACATCACTGAGCCTTCTTCAGACACAGCCACTGGATATAACTGTTTTTCCCCACTCAAACTCAGTTTTTATTTGTAGCAACAAAGCACCAGGCAAGATGAAATAAAATAAGTCATAGGAGAGAGCAAAGTACTTGTTTTATATGTAGGCCTGTTCCAAAGGCCCTTGAAAGTCTCTCATTGATTTCAATAAACTGAAGAGCAGAGACTTGGTCACCATATATCCCAAAGGGTTATTTTTTTCCTAGGAAAATCCGCATTAAATCATAAAGGGGACACCTGCATTTAATGCTCTTCTCATACAGCATATTAAACATACAGTTTAATAAGTGAGAAAGGAGAACAAAATGCCAACGGCCCGATATGAGCATTCAGAACATGCCAGCTGTTTGCCACAGATCCCCTTAGTAAAACAGTCGTCAATCAGATAAGGCTCTGACGTTCTGCACTGCTACAGGACATGCTGCTTAAATTAATTTTTTGTAATTGGATGTCTTAGCCAGTGCTATGCCACTTTATTTTTACATTAGAGAAATTGATTGCAGCGTTCATCTGCAGACTGCTCATTTTCAGCCTGCGAAGATAACAGATTGCATATGATGCAGACTAGGCAGGCACGTGTCTTGACACACACAAGACAAATCATATTGATTCAAGGTCTGGCCAGAATGATGACATCCTTTCACCTCAGAGTCCAAGATTTTTTTTAATCTTTATTTTTTTGACTCTTTGCATCATTAAAAAATGACAAAAGGGGTTGAGGTGACACCACCTACAAATATCTGAAAGACTTCAGAGAGGCTTCTGTGGGGGACTGGGATCTGGCCAGTCTGAGTCACCTGCAAACCTGGGACTTTATAGTGTGGAACAGTCTTAAGGATGATCATGATATTCCTCTCATTTATTTGAATATAGGATAGTCAAAGCACATAGACAAGTTTTCTCTGAGGCATTTTTGGGGGCTGTTTCTAGTTCAGATATATCCAGGCATTGATTTTTCTTTTAAGCTTTGTCTGAATGTCTGAGCTCATAATGGCAGACAAAGAGGTCAGTTCCAGGGTTGCCAACTGTCTGTAAATTTATGGACAATCCATTAAAAAAAGGCTTAAAACATCTGTCCATAAAGTCTGTAAAAAAAAAAAAGAAAGAAGAAATAATTGAGCCATCCACAAAATAACTAAGCAACCAGGAGACAGACAGACAGAGCAGAGCCTGTTGGACAATAACTTTGTTCTTGAACTATAACTTTAATTTGGATCTAAGTAATAAAGATTTGATCCCATAGAGGAAGCTCCGAGGATCATACTAATTTAAATGGTGTGAGCCAGTTTTTTGTCTTGTCTTTCGTTTCCTTTACCTGACAGGCGAGCCTTGGTGGGTGTGTTAGGATGATTGTAACTGGAGCTGCCCCTGCTTCTCCTACTGTTCTGGGCTTCCTTCGGGCAGCACTTGGATGTCAGGTAGGCTATACCTGCCTGATTGTCAGAACCATTGTTTTATAGCCAGTAATTTTGTTATTGTTAAGGAAATAGGGGAAACCTATTTTTTAAACGGCATGACCAAGATAAACAGCAGAGTTCAATTCTGGATCTTTTTGCAAATTTGGGAATGTTTGTATCTAAGGTTGGTACTTGGATCCATCTCTGGAAAGATGTTAAGGATACAGTGGTGTGACTTGTGCTACAAAGTCAGGGAGCCTGTACACAAGCCGGGAGTGTAATTACACACTGTAATTACGGCATGTTGGAGCAGACTCGATTAATTGAGTCTGCTGGAGCATGCTAATTAGCGTGCTCCAGCCAGCCTCTGCATCTCATGTATCAGTGTCCCTGCGTTTCAAAATGGGGGGGCGGCGTTTTATCTAAAACATGTTCGAGCTTTAGATTGAGCAACCCCACTGCCATTTTGAAGCACAGGAACACTGATACATGAGACACATGGGACGCTTTAATTAGAACCGCTCTTGGAGTTGCTCTAGTTAAGCCGCCCCCTCCCCCCCCGCCTCACCCCTGAAGCATACATAAAAACATCCTCAGTGTTTAAAGTTACCATTACTGAGAATCACTTTAGAAAACAGAGGAACTTTGGGTGCCTTCTCTCTGAGGCACTGAATACCAAACGTCATAAAAGGTATCCTGTCTCCTGGAAAGAAGATGCTGGCTGCACCATTTGCTGTAAAATCCAGGCAGTCATCTCACCTGCCCAGAATACTGCTCTGGTGTTTGGCAATGCAAGGAGGAAAGGGGGAATAATCAGTGGCCTCCAGAACTAAACACTCTTCTCTTAAGCCAGAAGCAACAAGTTTCCAAAAGACTGGTCTTCAAAAATGTGCTGCTTCTTATTGCAAAAATGTTTGTTTGTTTTTCTCATAGTTAAACTTATTACTTTATTCGAGGAAAAACTGTAGGAATTGTTCTTTCCTGCCTCTATTTTCAGATCCTTACTGTCTTGTTTATTTATGATAATATATAACATTTCATGTACAATGAGATCCAGCGAAGATTTACCCGTATTAAATATCAATCTATTGTGGCATATATCCAAAGCACTGTGCATCAGGAAAGACATGTTCAGTGACTTATTTTTTTTGATCTGCAACATTCAAATTATATCTCCAACTTTACCTTTATACATCTCTTTCTCAGGTTTATGAAGGCTATGGTCAAACAGAGTGCACTGCTGGGTGTACCTTTACTACTCCAGGTGACTGGACATCAGGTAAAAATTAAAGTCCGTTAATCTCCAAAAAGAAAAATCTGTTTATTTCGAATGTTTTGAGCTATAATACAAAAGGATACTATATGATAGTTTATCCTTGTGCTGAATAATATCAAGTGAATTGGATGTTCGTTACAGTGAAACATTAGCAGCACTATCCTAAAGCCAGGTACATTCTGATCGGATGCTATTTAAGTTTCCCTAGAAAGATTTCAAATTGTGCATTAAACCCTGATCTGCGGTAGCTCCAGCCCTCCAGCTCCAGACTTGCTAATCCTTTTGAATTGTATGGTGTGTTCGTTCTGTGTACCACTGGAACAAAGATGTAACCACATAATTCACATTCATTTATGACTAAATCAAATGCTCGGTAATGAGAAGAGCATGATATATGGCTTAGGGTCAGCCTATTTGAGAGAGACTACATTACCACCCCTTCAAACCTTTTGGCTCTTACGATTACTAATATAATTAGATGAAAACCATCAGTCATGGCAATGCTCAGCAAATCATAAATAAAAGTACTGCAGTAAGAGTCATCATCTATATATATAGAAAGTTTTTGGAACACACATAATCAAATTCATTTAAATGGGTACTTGCTGGAAAATTGAATGTAGACTATGAGTGAGGCTAATAAGCCACTTTCTTCTGAATGTTAATGTGCTACAACTGCAGAAAGGAACAGCACGTCTTTTCCCATCATAAATTGCTGTCTATCAGATTGTTTTCTCCTCTACTCAGAAATGTACAGCTACCTGTAGGGAGAAATATAGAAATAGCACAGGCTCCATCACACCCTTTTTTTTGTTCCCTGCACTCTGTTCTTGTTTTAGTACCCTAATGATTCCTGAACACATACTCAAAATTGTTTGTCAAATGACAGAAGCTCACTATTAAATAAATATTGAGCTTGTCCCTTCCCTCCAAATGGAAACCAGACTTAAATAAGAAAGAATTATGGGGTAGGTAAAGTCACTGGGTACCAAGGAACCACCGTACCGGGCTTGCTCACTCCCTTCTTCCAGTTTGACTTTCATAGTGGCCATTTGTAGGGAATATTTTGTGGTCTGAGGACCCTTATGGGTGTAGCAGTCTGTCTCCCAGGATGGCTCATCAGACTCAGTGAAAGCTACCATAATTTAGAGCAAATTAAACAGCTACAATATTCACTGAGAAAATGTTTTATTTAAAGCCATTATAACTGACTTTTCTAGGTGACATGGATACAGAATTTTGGGTTTCGTTTTTAACAAGCTCCTCTGAGTTAAGTGTTTTTTTTTTTTTAAATGAAAATGTGATTTGAAATCCTGTTAGCCAAGGAAGAAGGAAAGCCAGAAATATCCTGAATCATTACACTCGTGAAAAATAGGAATCCTATGCAGACAGGAGGTGAATAGTTTTTCAAAGACTGTAATGGATTCTGCAAGGAGGCACACATGCTTTGAGAACACTGAGCTAGGAATATGTGAGGTGCCTACTAATAACCCCTGAGCACTATTTGTAGAGAAAAAGTGACAAATGACTTTTTAACTTTGATTCCCAGGTCACGTAGGAGCCCCTTTGCCTTGCAACTTAATCAAACTGATGGATGTGGAAGAGCTGAATTATTTTGCTTCCAAAAGTGAAGGAGAGGTATTGTCTCAAATATTATATAACCCTCCTGCTAACATTTTGTCCCATTCTGTTCTAGAAACCTGTGAGCTATTCATTACCTCTTGCATTTGGCAATCCTTTTTCAGAGTACCTAGTTGTAGATGCATTATATGCTACTCTCAGGAAATGACAGGAAAAGCAATACAGAGGAATGTTATCCAGCCCAGAGCAGAATGCAATGAATCAGTAATATGAATGCTCCACCACCAAGTGCTCCTTACTTTTTAAAGAGCTGAGGTTTCCACAAAGAATCCTGTAGAATGAAGTGGGTCAACATAGAGGCATAGGCAGTCATCTGAGTAGGTCCTTTGATGGGATCAGGGCCTAGGATTGCTAAGATTAGGTCCTTCAGTCCTCATGCTTCTCTATTACACAGGGAATATTTCATAATGAAATAAACAATGAAAATGCTTTGGTGCTTAAGACACTTATGCCCCTGAGAAAAATATCCGCTTGAGACTCATCAGAGTAACAGCATCATTAAGATCATGCTATTTGGCCTTACCTGTTTAAGGTTCCAATTCAGCGAAGTATTTAAGGACAAACTTAATTATAAGCATGCAGTAATGGGAGTCAATGTATTATGTGCTCTGCTCCCCAAGTATCATGCACAATTTTATGAACGCACTTACCCATTTTTCTTGTTACAGCGTTCGTTTTGACTAGATGTCTGAAATATTCACAACGAATTTCAAAGTGTTCAGACACTGAGCATTTTTCTGTTTCACTATGACTTCAAAAAAGATCCAGTGTTTTTCTATATGTATTCTCCAAAGCATGTTTTAGTGAAAATAAGTCCTTTTTAAGTAAAATTATTTATGCTACAGAAATGCATGGAATGCTGTGAGATTACTTGCTTAGACAGTTAGTTGTACAGTTCTCATGGAAGATTATTAAAAGATAGTTTTAGGGATGATGAAACAATAAAATGCCAGATGTCAGAACAAAAATTGACCACAGTTTTACAAATATAAAAAAGAAAAAAAAATGTGAGAAAGAAAGCAAGTCTTAGGGTGGTGGGATAAGTGGAAATATTATTTTCTAGAAAACTCTTACTCAAAAGAGTAAATGTAGACAAAACGGGGGGGCGTGTGTGCATGACACTTTAAAGCAGGCTAAATGCTTTTTACTGCTTTAATGGTGTTGGTGTTTGCACGTGTTGGCAGCGTATTGCGCATTAATTCTAGCTGCTGTAGCATATTTGGCGGCGTAAGGCACCTTAAATTACTTGGGGGTGCAGCAAACTAAAACACCTCTGAAGAGCTTTAGTTTGCTTCCCAACAGCTGTGAAGCAAAGCACCAGGCTCCATGTGGCTCAGGGGCTGTGCAGGCATCCCATGCAGGCAGCCTGGTAGCAGCCCAGGAAGGCAGGCTCCACTGAAGGAAAAAAAAAAGCAGCAAACCCGATCTTTTTTTTTTTCCCCTTGGAGCCTGCCTGCCTCCATGAGTTATGTTGGGACCCAGGCCTTCCCTCTGCGGCTGCAGTGCCCCCTGGGGCCGCCCAAGCTGGGTGCCTGTGGGCGGGTACCACCTGCGGGGGCTCACCGCTGCCGTGGAGGGAAGCACCAGCGCCCCCCCCAGCCCAGGGACTGCTCCGCCCACTGGCAGCTCGCCCTCCCCTCCCCACCTCCGGAGAGGCAGGTAAGACATGGGTGTACACGACACGGTGGTTTACTTCGTCCTAAATTGAAGCAGTGTTTTTAAAAACCCACTGCTTCAGTTTAGGGCCCCCATTTCGTCTACACATGGCCTAATGTATTAATATGGCTTGATAACAGAAGCTTTAGCATTTATCATGAACCACAACTCATTTGCAGATTTGTGTGAAAGGACCCAATGTTTTCAAGGGTTATCTTAAAGACGAAGAGAGGACAACTGAAGCGCTGGACAAAGAAGGCTGGCTTCATACTGGAGACATTGGGAAGTGGTTACCTGTATGTACTGCTCAAACACTCAGTTCTTGCATAAGTTGTCACTTCCTTTAAAAATTCTCTAACTTATATTTTGAGGAAAGTTGTTGTTGACTGTGTTTTATTGTTTTGTGGAACAATGATATACCAACCAGCAAGAGTTGTAGGATCCTCAAAGTTGAGTCCATATATCTGGATCCCTATTAAAAGTTGACTATCTTCTGTAGCCCAGCAAAAAGAAGAGTTTCTTTGATAGCCCATTAATCCTTGTGGGTTATCAAACAGACCTACCTATACCAAGATACCATTTTAATATTCAAAGAAAATCACTCAACCTTTTCTGTTCTTTGGAAGAGATCCCATTCAGTAGATGGAGATAAGGTAAACCACTTTTGAAATACAGGAATCTCTGTAGTGGAATGAAAAAAATATTTCATGTGTATTGAAAATAGGATATTTGATTTTCAGTGCTACTGAACACCTTAAACTACTATTCAAGTGAAAGGAAATACCAAGTCATGCTCTTTTGATAGTAGATCTCGACTTCCTAAAAAATAATGTTTTTCATGTTAACTATAATGGTATTTGATAAAGAATTTGGCAAAACAGCAACATCTAATGTGTTAAAAATTTTAAGGGTTGAAGGGAGAAAATTATGATGGCAACTACAAAATGGCAAAAAAATGCAAAACATCTGAAAAGATGGAGGCATTTAAATTTTCTTTGAATTTTTTTAACCCCCATCATTTTGGAACCCATTTCCCAATTTTACCTGGTTGACTTTTTCCATTGTTTCTAGCTTGCTAAGTGGATATTTTGCAAAGATTTTACAAGAAGAAAAATTACTCTCATGTTGGCTTGAGCCAAAATGATTAATGTGTTTATGTAAAAATAGTCAACATTTTAGACAATTTCCTGATAACCAGAATATCACTTCCTGGCCTGTTGCATTTATCACTGGATGTTCAGATATACCCTTAAAGATATTCCATCATGACTAAAAAAGTAACTTACTTTCATAAAAAAATATTCTCCTGATCCTGAACATCTGTTTCCCAGAGGAGAACTAATCAAATTCAGTCATTTCTGCTGGGCAGCTTGTCCCCAGCAAATCCAGGGTAGGGCTGATTTCCTGCATTCCCATACATCGGGGCGGGCAATTATTTTGGGCGGAGGGCTGCTTACTGAGTTTTGGCAAGCCATCGAGGGCCACATGACAGGCAGCCAGGGGCAGGTTAATATTAATTTTCTAAATTTTTTAGGGGCCCCGTGGGCCGGATGGAATGTCCTGGCGGGCCGCATCCAGCCTGCGGGCTGCATTTTGCCCACCACTGCCATACATGCAAATAGTACCTATTCTTTGTTCTCTCTGGGGCTAGGGACAGACATTCAAAAAGCCTGAGCCTGAATTGATTCAATCTTTGCAAGTTAGTCTAACCTGGCTAGGCTGAACCATTTTGTAACTGCACAGATATCCCAGAAATGTAGGTACATGCCTGTAGTGGCTCAGGCTAGAAGCCGGGGGTGGGGGGAGGGGTGCTAGAGCAGCCCTCCCTTCCCTTCCATAGTGCTGAGCTGAGGGAGGCATGGCCCTGGCAGGACGCTATGATTAGGGAGGGGTACCTCCCCACCCCTGACCAGCCCAGCAGGGAATTGATTAACACAATGTTTATCGCCCCTGCCGCGGCGCACCTCGCTGTCCCACTCCTAGAGAGGGGAGAACTGCTGGGGAAAAGCCTCAGCAGAGATAATGAGCACAGCTGCAGGTTGCCAGGGCAACTAATGAGAGTCAGCTGATCCTGAGGGGGCAGGGCCTGGCTCCTATAAAGCCTAGAGTCAAGGCCAGGCTGGCAGTTCCCTGCCAGCAGCCAGAGAGGCAGGAGCTCTTTCAGCTATGACACTAGAAGCAGTGAGAACCGCAAGTACTGCCTGAGCAGAGTTACAGAAGGCAGCTCGGGAGGCTTGAGCCGTGGTGTTAAGTTATAGCCAGGCAGCTTCAATTTGTGTTACAGCCTAGGGGCTTGTGGTTTTGTTTTGGCGTTGTTATTTATTAGACTGGTGGTTTGGGTGAGGCTATAGGGGTTGGAGGAGGCCTCATTGGGGACTCACAACAGAGGGTGAGGACCCCAGCGCCTGAGTGGGCACAGCATACTCATAGGGACCCACAGTGGTGTGGGGGCCCTAGCGCTAGTGAGGGTGCAGCGTATTCAGGGGGAACCCACAGCAACGTGTGGACCCCGGCGCCAGTGAGGGCGCAGCTTACGGGGTGCTTAGACCCCAGCCCCAGAGAGGGTGCGTTTGAGAAGCCCCAGTGCGGGCGTAGCGAGCCCTAGAGAGGGGCACTTTGGAGAAGCCACAGTACAGGCGTAGCAAGCCCTAGAGAGGGGCAACTTTGAGAAGCCCAAGTTGGGCACAATGAGCCCCAGGAAGGGGGGCGTGACGAGCCCCAGGAAGGGGGCAATACTTCAGAAGCCCAGGTGTGGGCGCGGAAAAGCCCCAAGGAAGGGGGCGGCATTTTAGAAGCCCGAGTGTGGGCGCAGAGAGAGCCCCAGAATGGGCATAGCAGGCCCCAGGAGGGGGCGTCAGTGTACAGAGAGAGACAAACCAACGTCTATCCCATCTGTGAGGCTTGGGGCGTGGTATTAGGGGCTGGTAGGAGCCACGCATAGCCCATAAGGCTAGGGTGCCTGAGGAGCACCCATTATACCGGGAGACCCCCAGGAGGTCCGAGAATATAAGGGGACAGAGGTCCCGGCTATCCGTGCCCAGGGAGTTGTAAGGCAGCCTCCCAACCTTATTCAACAGCAAAGACGTGGTGGGCGAGAATCGAGGGTGCCCTTGGGCCGAATTGGCACAGAGAGAGGGCCTTAAGGAGATCACGGCCCTCCTATAGGACGCCGCCGTGACAACCCCTAACTCAGTGTTTATCACCCCATTAAGAAAACAACAGAGGGATATTACCAGCTACCTGTTGATTCTGCCTTTGTCGCGTCTGCCACGGCACAGACCATAGCCAGCATGTGGTCTGCTAGCTAATGCTGTGTCTGTGTAAGGCAGAGGGGATGGGGATCCCTGCTAAGCAGGGAGTGGGGAGGGGAGGAGGGGAACAGGGGGAAGCCAAGCAGATGCCTGCAGTCTCTGCTGAGCTGCAGCCAGGGAGCAGAGAGCCCTGCCCAGCCCAGAAAGCATGCCGGGATGCTGGGGGAGTCTGGTTTAACTTAAACCAGCAAGGGGTCTGGGACAGACATTGCATAAACTGGTTTGACCCAAATCAGTTAAGTCTGATACTGCATTCAACCAGGTTTATCTTAAACCAGTTTCAGCCATTTTCAAACTGGTTTATATGCACTGAACATCGGTTCTGTTACAGGTTTAAACCAGTTTCTGATCACTTAAACCGGTGTATGTGTAATGTCTGTCCCTAGCCTGGATGTTCTGCTCCAGCCAATAGGCAAGATATTGTGTACTTCTTCATAAATGCATTGTTAGCTTTATAATGAAATATAGGCTGAAATGTAAAAAAAAAAAAAAAAAAAAAAAGCAGGTGGTTTATGGGTCCTGTATATTTACGTAACTTTGGGGGGACTTGTCATTTCTCTTTCTGAACAGAATGGGACTCTTAAAATTATTGATCGAAAGAAGCATATATTTAAGCTTGCTCAGGGAGAATACATAGCACCCGAAAAGATTGAGAATATCTACATCCGCAGTGATCCTGTTGCCCAGATATATGTTCATGGAGACAGCTTGCAGGTAAAATGTAGCGCTTCAAAATAGTTGTCCGTGTTTTGTTCCTTGTTTTGAAACACCTTGTTATTTTAAAGTTAAACTCTTGGATTTGCAGTCACAAGTGGCAAGTGTAAAAGATTCATTTTCACTTCATTGCTTCCCTCCTAGCTACTGGTTTGAATCTAAGCAGCATGAAGTGGGGGAGAGGGAGGACTTTGAAGTCTTAATCTCTAAATCCTTTCAATTACCTCTTTAAAAGCTTTCTTTGCCACAACACCAAGAGAGAACCTGACAAAAGTTAAATCGCTGTTATGCTGAGTCCACTGCCCATCACACTAACCAGTATTGTCCCATTGTTTCCTTGTATCCCCTGTTGGTCTGTCTGTATCTGTCTGTTGTCTCTGTCTTATACTTGGATTATAAACTCCTTAAAATTGGGACTTTTTGTCCTTTTGTACAGTACCTACATACTGTGGTTTTGATCCATGACCGGGGTCCTAAGTGATATGCTACTAAAACAACAGTAATAATGAGAAAATCATGGCATCAACTTTTACCAATAAAAATGGCAAGAACACAAATGCTAGAACTATACTTGAATTAGATCTCTTGTGGTGCACTGGGCCAGTGTACCGCTCTCTGTTATATAGGCCTGCCCAGGGCCTATGCGAGAGTTTAGTCTTCTCTGTTCACAGCTTGGTAAAACGATATTCTCTACTCAGACAGAACAGTTAGGGCTTCGTTTTCAAAACCGGCTCCTGAGATTCTGCTCACAAAATTGCTTTAAAGTCAGAAATCTACAGTTGCACATACAATGGAGATAGCTGCACATCTGCAAATCCAGTTTGCATCACCATGTTGATATTTTAAATACAAACAATTAACGCTTATGCACAAATGACTGATCAATAGGAATCTCACCCAAGAGTCAAAGGCCCAAGAACAAGAACATTATAAATAAAATTACCCAAATTCTACTCTTATTTATATCAGTTGTTTAAAACCAAAGTATTCTATTAATGTCGGTGCAGAACAGAATTCAAACAGTAGAATCTGGGGCAACTTATTATATTTTTTCTGGCAAATATATTAACTGTCAGAAGGGATGAGCACAAAAAGTACTTTTTCATATATTTTAGCCAACATTCATAGACATCATAGAAAACAGGTCTAAAAGGGATGTCAAGCAGTTATCTAACCCATCCTCCCCCAAAGCAAAACCAAATGCACTCAAATCATTCCTGAGAAATATTTGTCTAACCTGGTCAAAAACTTCCAAAGTTAGATATGCTATAATTTCCCTAGGTAATCCATTCCAAGCTTCACTGAAATGACTGAACAAGTGAGTGTTTTGAATTTTAGGCAAATCAAGAGACAATATTTATTTACTGAAAGAGTATGCTGTAAATGTAATTCATTCTTTAGCTGTATACTATTTTTCCAGCTTTCTTTCCATTTTTCCCTCTGGTACAGGCCTTCTTGGTGGGAATTGTGGTACCTGATTCTGAAGTCATGCCAGGCTGGGCAAAAAAAAGAGGGTTTGAAGGAACATATGCAGAGCTCTGTAAAAATATGGTGTGTCTATATATATATATCTATACATTTGTTTCTGTGTTCAGTTACCAGTGAACTGTGATATCATTTCATCCTAGAAAGTGACAAATGGAAATAAAGGTATACTCACAAAAAAGAAAATGGGCAGGGCAAGTCTGAACTATATAATGCTGTTTGTGTTGTATTACTGATGTGCACTGAGCATCATCTGTTGTCAGAGACAAGATACAGGGGTAGATGGATCATTTGTCCACTCCATTATAACTGTTCTCGCATTCTTCAGAGTGCTCCTTTGAATATATCTCAGTCAGTCTTTATTTCCTATCATTAAGCCTATGCAGTTTGTTAGACTCTCAGGAAAAGTAATTCTTTCCCTCCTATTTTTGTTGAACTCAGCTAAAACAATATATATACAAAAGTTCCTTTACAATGGCAAGATACAAAACATAAACCAAAATGTTCTAACTTCGGTTCTACAGTGAGGTACTTCAATAAGTATTTTCAGGAATTTGCAGAAGCAGAGTAATTTTCAGGGGAACTATGCATCTGGTTGTGATATGAAGTCAGTGGGAGCTGAGGGCCCTCAGCTCACAGTTGGTAAGATCAAACCTAAGCATGCAAGTATTCCCACTAATTTCAGTGGGACCATTCATGTACTTAAATTTAATACACATCTGTTTTCAGAATTAAGACCTAAGAGTTCTGTCCTTGCCCCTGACATTTAAAAATATTGACCTTGTGTCTTCCACTGTATAAAAAATGGAAAAATATTATTACACTAATTTATAAAACAGTCATATATTTTTCAATTTAGAAAGCTAGTTCTTCAAACACAAGGATTGCTAATTGATGTATAGGCTGCCAGAATCAACAGTGCATCTGTACTTTGCTCAATAAACCCTTTTATTTTCTTGCTGACAATATGATTACTTACATATGCTATGGAGTTAAATAGAGAATCTATGTGTTCTAACTCAGGAACTGAAGAAAGCACTAATGGATGATATGGTGCGGTTAGGAAAGGAGAGTGGACTTCATTCTTTTGAACAGGTAAGATGAAGACTTACAGCTTGCCTTGCACAACTCACCCCTGCATGCTGAATAAGTCGCTGTTAGTATTTGTTACCTAATGCCCAAAAGTCTGATTATGATGTGCCTGTGGATCTTTACAGGTGCATTCATGCACTTATTTCAAAATCTTTGGGTTGGTTTGCTAGAATGCATGATTGATGTTGCAGGAACAGTAATAAAAGGTTAAATTGTTATTATTTTTATGGTTGCACGCAAGGATTTTGATGAAATGCCAATCAATTCTGTTCATTATCTTCAATTAAATAAAGGATATAGTCCCTCATTCTGCTTTCCCCCTCACACTCAGCACTTGTATCAAGTTCCATGGGAATTGTGGCACATAGGTAATGAGTAACAACAGCAGGCAATATGTAATCCCTCTAATATAATCACCAGTGGTCAAGACAAATATTCTTAGGAGCCTGATCCTACTTCTATTGAAAGCAATGTAGCAAAGTGGGATCAGGTCCTTAATTACCATTCATGTAAGTGACCTAGAAAAGAAAGCTGTTCTGTTTATTTTCAGTGTATGTACTAATCTTTTCTGATGCTTGCATGAATATTTCTAAAACAGAGCTACAAACTTTCCAGCCAGAAAGTGCTGAAACCAATGCAATATTTCACAATGTTAGCAAATAATATTGCTATTGATCAAAAATGTAAAAGAAGCCTCACATTGAGTGTTTCTTAAAAGTTAGTAATTTATTGCATATTTGCTGTTGAGAATACCAATATAAAAGTGCCAAGGCATTAATTATTTACATTTACTTTAAAAGTTGTTTTTATTTTGAGTCTATTTTTGTATAAAAATCCAGTGAGAAATCCACCATAGTACGGTGAAGCAGAAGCTCCTAGAAAATTCAATCTACTTGTCTTCCTTTTTCTATAATTTCAGTGACTGCTGTATGATATTCCACATGGAATATGGCTTATAGTACACAAAATTGGACGTCTAGTAATTAACCTCATTTGCTGTGCCCTAACTTTTCCCAATTCACCCTATGCAAGTAAAAACCTATGAGGTTAATAGGAAAACCCTGCTGTCTTTCTAAAAATCTAAGGAGAAACATTGTGAATGAAAAAAGAACAAACCCTGAATTTTTACAGTTCTAAAATAAGAAGTTTTATAGGTAGATCCCCCTTTACTCTCACTTTGTAGCAATATGTGATAGAATCAAAATCTGGCCCAGATCCTCTGACCAATGTTAACCGTGGACAAGATCCCTTTACACAGATCTGTCTGGGCTGAAGGAGTGTGTCCAATGGGATAGTCTTCCTGTCCTAGGGCATGTAGAGCATGCTGCCTCTCATCTAGATTGTGCTGACCTCTGCCCTGGCATAGTGATGTGCTTGGACCGTCTCTTAGCTCAAGTTTGGCCAACAGCAGGAGAACCACAGACAGACATTTTGGGTGTGTCCAGACGTGCGAGGACATTTGGTTCCCCAGGGACAAATAGTGGCGGTTTACCTTGCATTGCAGCTACTTGTCCCCCGGGAACACCCGTGCCACGCGTGCTTTGGTGTGTGGCAAGTTACTGTGTGGCAAGTTACTGTGTGACAAGGTAGTCTGGGGGCAGTAGGGGAGGCTGGGACCAACACTGTGATGGCCCCAGCAGCTTTACTTGGAGTCCTGGGGGCTTTCTGGGGCTGCAGCCATGGCAATCTTGCTGGCTGGAGTCTGGCTGACAGCCACAGTGCAGCTCTGGGCAGCCTGACTCTGCTTTTCAGTAGTGCATGCTGCCTGAGCATGCACTGCTCTGTTTTTTTTCCCCCAGGTTTTGGGTTTTTTTGACACCTGGATATCCAGGGTAAAAAAAAAAATACGCAGAAAAAAAAAAAAAGTGTAGCAGCGCACGCTTGGGCAGCATGTCCTTGCAGCACAGAGAACACTGGCCTGTGCCATATGTGGCACTGCAGACGTGTTTGTGGTGCCACATACTGCACAACCATACTCATCTGGACACATTCCATGGGGGCAAGTGGGGCACCAGTCCTGGATGCCATCTCAGGACATGGCACAAAAATTGCAGCTGCTGCCACTGCCCTGTGCACTGCTGCTGTCCTGGACCCAAAAGTACCTAGCTTCACCTTTGTTCTTATGACTCTCATCTGGCAAATGCAAAGCCAACTGGGGACACAGAAAAGCAGTGGACAGCTAGGGAAACCTTGCCTCAACTCCATGGATCATGTACCAGCCCTACAGCGGTACTAGAAATGAGGGAATCTCAACCCATTCCCATCTGTGCTACCTGGCCTCCTGCTGTGCTCAGATACACCAGGGATTAATAACAGCAGGCTTGTAAAATTCTATTTGCCTAGGATGAGTGATTTTATATTGCTTTAATTGGTTGGTAAAACATCATTAATCTTTTGTATGCTCATCATCATGTTAAGTTCTTCTGTGCTTACACTGGTCAAACTCCAGGACAGTTTTACAAGGCTGCTGTTCTATTTAAATTCATGCTTCTGCAAGTCCCTGTTGCTCCCCTGCATTCACTCTGACACCCTCCTTTCTCTGTGGGTAGTTACATGGATGTCTGGGGATAGGGTAGCATCATATGTGACTGCCTCTGCTTTACTCTGCTGTTTTTTAAGAAGAAATGCTTCTTTTTACACCATCTAGTAGGATCAGAGCACAACAGCCCCCACGTACATTAGAGGTACAGGGTAATTTCTTCTGGGGGTATGATGAAGGGGCATTGTGGCAGAGGTTTATGGTTCAAGAAGAAAGCAGTGCTAAATAAAATTGGGAGTTAATGATGACTGACACTGAGAGACAGCCATAATAGAGAGAAGCTCTATTCAAATTTTCTCTCTCCACCCTCTGAAGGCTTCTTGTTTTTAGCTTGCAACAGCAATATTAAAGGCTGATGAGCCCTTAAGCAAAGAGATGCATGGCTGTTTAGTAATGGGTACAGATCTCCAATAGGATTAACAGGGCTAGGGACAGACATTACACCTAAACCAGTTTTAGTGATTTAAGTGATCAGAAACTGGCTTAAACCTGTAACAGAACAGGTGTTCAGTGCACATAAACCAGTTTGAAAATGGCTGAAACTGGTTTGAGATAAATCTGGTTGAATGTAGTATCAGACTTAACTGATTTGGCTTAAAGTGGTTTAAGCAGTGTCTGTCCCAGACCCCTTGCTGGTTTAAGTTAAACCAGACTCCCCCAGCATCCCGGCATGCTCTCTGGGCTGGACAGGGCTCTCTGCTCCACAGCAGGGCTGGCCCCTCCTCTCTGCTCCCTGGCTGCAGCTCTGGGAGAGACTGCAGGCTGCTCCCCCCTCTCCCCCTCACCACTCCCTGCTAAGCAGGAATTCCCATCTCCCCTCTGCTCCCTCGCTGTAGCTCCAGCACAGACTGCAGGTATCTGCCTGGCTTCTCCCTTCTAAACAGGGATTATTCCCCCTGCCCCTCTGGATTATATCTCTCAGCATTAGCTAGCAGACCACACGCTGGCTACAGTCCCTGCTGTGGGAGGCGACAAAGGCAGACAGGCTTTTGGAGCTAATTAACAGGGAGCTGGTAAAATCCTTCCTTGGAAAAGCTGTTTAAGAAGAGCTTGAACTAATGGAGAGAGGCTTTGTTTTCTTAATGGGTTGATAAACACTGAGTAGGGGTGATAAACATTCCCTGTTGGGTTGCTCAGGATGAGGGGGACATCAGAGCATCCTGCCCAGGCCTGGCCATGCCCCCTCAGCTCAGCTCTGCGGAAGGGAAAGGAGGGCTGGTCTAGCACCTGCTGGCTTCTAGGCATGTGCCTGAATTTTTTTCAGTCCAGAGGGGATGTCTGTGAGGTTACAAACTGGTTCAGCCTAGCCAGGTTAGACTAACCTGGAAAGATTGAATCAATTCAGGCTCAAGCTTTTTGAATGTCTGTTCCTAGCCCAAGTGACCCGCCAAGCCTGTTGAATTGGTAACCTATGTAGAATGGGTATAATTTCAGTAGTTTTGATTAGTCCCATTTAATAGTATGTGATGTTTTTTATTCTTGTTCTAAATATATGCCTTTCTATTTTAGGTCAAAGCCATTTACATCCACTCCGATATGTTCTCAGTACAAAATGGCTTGTTGACACCAACATTAAAGGCTAAGAGACCAGAGCTGAGAGATTACTTCAAAAAGCAAATACAAGAGCTTTATTCAAGCATCTCCATTTGAAGCTGCAGGAAGGTTCTTCTGAATAATGGACTTTGTAGCAATATTAGAGTAATACTCAAAAGTACAGAGCCAGAATGACAGTTGAAATGAATAAGCATCTGACCTTATGTCTGAGGTTTTTTGTTGTTCCAAGACTTCACCACTGATCTAACAGTAATTTTTCTTTATCAGCCATAATTCCATTTCTTTTTACAGAACACCTTAGGAGTAACAGCAAAAAATATATATAAAGTCCAGCACATCCTAAAGCAAATCATAGAAGGTTATATTAATGCCTACAAACATTATGGATTGAACATAGGGAAAAACATAGTCTATATGTGATTGTGACTCTAGATTAGTGACTAAAACCCTGGATAATTCAATAATGCGGTCTACCTCAAACAAAGAGTGATGAATGGTGAAAGTCTGTTTTCCCTGATCTGGAATTTCAAGCTGGATATTTGTTTGTCTTATTTTTTTTAAGTGATTGCTTTTATACTCTGCAGGGCATAAATTCCATTGACTTGATTTAATCATCCACAATCTAACTGACATTCAGAGTAGAATAAACACATACACATACCAACATATACCATGTCACCCAGTATCCTTTATACTTAATATGCCCATCAGTGTATTATACGTAATGGAAGATGCCAGATTAGTGCCACCTTGTAATTACAAGAATATGTTAGGAAGTTATAAAATAGATCTCCCTGTATTTCTTTTGCCAGTGTATCTGCACTCAGTTTATAGCACGGCAGATTGTTTTTCTTTATGGGCCTAATCCAGTGTAGAGTATCCATGAGTGTTACAATTACTCACATGAGAGAGACTGTGGAAGCATTGCTGGCTCTGTGGCTGACTGACCAGTTCAGGAGGAAGATCAGCCTCCTTTAAGAGCTACTAAAGAAAAAAAATGCACAACATAAAGACAGATGGTGTAAATGAGGTTGTGTCTATCTTCCATCCTCCTGATTCCTAATGTATCCCTTCACAGGCTGCTGGTACTGTGTGATCCAGTTAAATTGACTCATTTCACAGGTGCAGGTAGAGGAATGGTGCCCTGGCCCAGTGTATAAATGATAATTATGGATGACTGTTAGTGAAACAAATATATTTGGGAGAAGAGGACAGACTCATATCCCCATCACTGACATGACATGGTGGTTTGTGGGGTTGTGAAATAGAGAGGTGTTACTTGTAAGTCCCCATATTGGTAGGAAAGAAGATTCTCCGACTGTTTTCTTCCCCATCAAAACTTTATTGTAAAGGGTTGTGATGGGGCAAGGGACCTTCAAACCTGAACATGAAGGGAAAGACTGATAATTTTACGTTGTGACTACTTTAAAATTCTTCTTTGACTTCCTGAAGACCTCTGGATCATATGTAGCAATTGGTCTGGATGAAGCCTTAGACTTCACCTATTGTGAAGAAATTGAATATATCCCAAATGGAATAAGAGCAGTCTCTGGAACTATGGGCTCAGACATCATGGCTATAGGCATGGTATAAATGCTCAGAGAACTATAAAACTCATGGAGCCTATGTAAGTTCCATGGGCCAAAAGCCCTGAAAGCTTTTTTTAGCTGGAGAGGGTCCTAAATATATATATTTTTAATAACTGCTGTTTGTTGCACCAATCTGCATACTAGCATGGGGCTGCTAGATGACACGGTTTGCTAGGGCAGTGAATGTACACTTATTTTTCTGTCTTAGACTGGAATCTATTCTAGGTTTTTAGACTAAAAAGCCTAAATGAAACTGTTAACCTCAACTGAAACGTACTTTCCCTCCAAGATTCCATTGCATGCTTTAAAAGAAATGAAATAAATTGAATTAATGAGTTAGTTCTATGCAGAGACTGATTTATTAATTTCAGAACAAACTGTTATAAATGCAAAGGAGATTGCATCTCTTGTACAGAACATGTTTGTTTGATTTATCAAATGTGAAAGTGTTTAAATCCCAGTGGATCTTCATTTGCATCTTGTATAATCAGGGCAAAGTGAGAGTGAAACACTGCCACTGTGGTCTGTTAGAATTTTACATCTTCTATACACTGGTGTGCATGATTATATGTAACCCACTGGTGCATAGGTTCCCCTCTATGCCCAGTTCACAAAATATATGAGTTGTTGCAGCCAGCAGTTACTCATTCTGGCTCCTAGCCTCAGCTGCAATAGCTGCACAGCCTAGGTTCAGTTCCCACTCTCACAGCTGAGGTGGTCATCACATGTAGGCAGTGCCAGGCAACGGAGAGTTGGGCCCTTTACCTTTCCTTCGCCTAAACAAAACAGGATCTATTTTTAATAGAGCCTTATTTCTTAATTAAGCAGAAATGTAAAAGAAGCTATTTTTGGATGGCCTTTCTTTACAGCATGAATTTAATTTGCTTGCCTTTTCTTCTAAAGTGATTTCAGTTCGTCTGACCTTTCCAGACAACTGAACTCTAATTTTGTGCAGAGGAGGACCCTACTTATGGCCCAGGTGACTTTATTTTAAAGTAAAAGTATATAATACATTTTTTCTATTTGCATACAATGTCTGTTTTCTCCCTTTGGGTATTTAGTAGGAAGTGTCAGGTATATTAAAGGTAAGAAGATGGAAAGAAAAGAATAGAAATTAGAAAATATGTACATGACCACACCAGGGTAAAGAATTTAGGATGAAAGAATGGCCACACAGAAAAATTGCGTATATTTTAAATAACGGGGAAAACTGGGTGAATAAGCTGTCCCCAGTTCTATTATTTTTGCAATCAGAAGAACTTCCTCTGCAGACCAATGTTATAATGGATTAAAATCCTAAATCTGTGCTTACCAATGTGATGGTTTCAAATGTGCCTCTTTAAAAATCCAGGATAAAGATCCTTTACCTTTTTCTCCTAATATTAATATATTTCTTATGACCATTGCAAAGAAAATCCTAATAATTATGTTGGACCCATTTGCGACATCCTAGGGTAATAAGTACAAGCTCCATTCTGGACCTTTGTCTTATTGGAAGGTTCCACTTCAAAACACAAGTGGCATTCAATAAAATGGCAGTGTGTGTTGTCCTTCTCCAAAAGGCAAGCCTTTCTATGGGATTAAAAATAAGCACTTTCATCTTACTACTTGAAGATATGGGGTCCGACATTAAGCTACTGGGTGCATTAACTGGATTTGGAATACCCAGTGAGTATAATTTAATTGAAATTAATGGTGTTACACTGCTGTAAAATCAATATGGATCAGAATCTGGCCCCTATGGCGTGCCAGTTGTCCAGTCTCCCTAGAATGTCAGTGCCTTGAGCAGACTGATGTGTTGAGACAGATTTACAATCCATTTCCTAGACCTCTGTCTAATATGTGCACTGCATATTATGAAGCGTTCTCTTCCCCATATATACTCAAAAAAGAGACTCCTTGGGCCTGATCCAGTACTACTGAAGTCAATGGAAAAATCACTTTTTATATGCATATATGGAAACCTGATTCAAATATATCTTCAAACCAAATGCCAGTTAGAGAATTATGCAAGTTAGTTGTTGTTAATATTCATCACTCAGCATATTTCACAGTCAACATATCCATCATGCTGAATGATCAAAGAAACAAAATAAACATGAGTAAAACACACAAAAAATCAGCACTGGGTCCTTATCCCATGAGACTGGCAATAATGTCAAATAATTATGCTGTACTGAAAGGCAAAATTACAGGGTAAAATATTTGATAAAATACAGTAGCTGAAAGAGATGCTAATTCCTTTATTGCTACAACCCTCTTTCACTATTGTAATGATCTCTCAGAAATATTAAGGTATAGTGTCATTATTGCCTTGGATATGATTTTGTTTCATAAAGCAGAAAAAATGTTTTAATGATTCTTCCAGAATGAAACAAATTGACCTATAAATTTATTTTCCATGTGTAAGAAGCACAAACTTGTGACCTATATGTAAATAAGCTACTATAAAATGAATGTAAACAGGAAAAGAGTATACTATTTTTGCATGTCAGCAAACTGCTTAAAGATGCGTTGATGTCTCTCAGAAAACTTTGAAAGTTTTTTATTTAGTAACAATTCTATTTGTATATTTTCTGTATTTCTCTTATTCACTTTTTTATTATAAAGGCACAGATGTATGAAAACAGGATCTTTGTTTCTTCTTGGAGTTTGCTTATTCTTCCTCACCTATGGGTCCTTGCCTGCAACTAGATGAATATTTCTTTGTAGCTGCTAAGCTAACTTTGCTCCTGTTGGAGTAAGGGAAGCTGAAAGTATTTAACACTTTGGAGGGGCTATACAAGCACTTGAAGTAACAAGGACACATTCCCAACTCAAAATTTATTCCTGGCATCCATGTGCACAGCCCTACTGACCCCAGCAGAATTATGCCTTATAAGTGGTAGTCTAGCTGAGAGGCCTGTCTGAATCAAAATTAGTTCCCATCATTATTTGACATTTTAAGGATGGAAGATCCTGTATGAAATTCTGGACCCACAGAAATCAATGAGAGTGTTACCCCCAATTTAAAATCATACTTGTGCTTGCTGTCTTTAATCAATAATGGGAGGAGAAAGCCAGAACGTATCAGCACATCAGTGGAAACGTTCCTAAATGCAATGTTTTCTATGATGCATCAAAACCTCTTTAAGCCCTTCACTTTACTATACTTTTCTGTATGCATTTTAGCAACGTACCTGCAACAAATGCGAATAAATCAGGCATTTTCCAAAGTGTTGCTTATTCTATTTTCAACTAAAAGTGAAGGGGCATAAAATGTGACTTATAAATATGTGTAAAAAAAAAAGTATCTTAACTGTAATTAAAGGGGTTTTGTTTTTTTTTTAGTTTTGGTATATTAGCATGTATATCAAAAATATAAAGGGCCTCTACAGAAACTTTTGTAAAGAATAAAGAACTGTCAGATTTCTCTAAATTGCTCATACAATATTGTTGATTGACATACAATAAAATCTTTTATAAAACCTCTTAGTATTCCAATGCTGTGTCCATGTGATCAGTAACTAGTCATTCAAAACGTGTGCCTCTACTAAACATCTTGTGAAAAACCCAGTGACCAAATGAACACTGGAACCTGAGCCTCATTTTAGCAAACTTTGGTGAACACAAATTGTTTCAGGTTTCTCTGAAGACAGCCATGCAGCCTTTCTGTAATGGTTTCAGCTCACCTTTTTAAAACAAACAGTAATAAAATAACCACGTGTATAAGCTTAACATGAAATGACAGTTGGGAATGCATAGATTTTTTTTTTTCAGAACTTGTGTTTAAAACAATAAAGTTTAAAATTATTCAGTCTCTTATCCCAGTTTTTGTGTACACTTATCCTTCTCCCTTGATTGATAATCCTGTAACATTTCCAAAAGATTTTAAATTATGTTTTAATAATTTATCTGATTTAGGGCTCAATATAATCTGAAGTACGCTGCTATGCTAACCGAATAATAACATAACAGATAAACTTGGATTCCAGGATGCGAAATCATGAAATTAAACCTATGTGCATGTTAATATGAACAAATAGATGACAGATATCCTATCAGTCTGCCGTAAAGGCTCCTATGCTGTCTTCTGCCAAGACACAAAATGGCATAGGAGTCCTTGTGACAGTGTAAGGCAGTGATGTCAAATTTATCCGGTCTTGTCTGGGCAGGGGGCACGGTGAGGTTGACACCCCTGCCCTAGGAGACGGTGTCCTTGTGTTGTTCTGTGAACAACAGCGTTGTGTAGTCCTGGCTAGCATGCAGAGACGTATCAGGCGGCCTGAAGCGGACTTAGCATCCCCTCCATTTTAGAACAGGCCGACGTTTTCTTCATGTCACGAATCTGCGCCTGATGGAAAGCCTGCCTATCTGTGTGCTTGTAAGGTCGTCCCGACACAGACCCTGTCTAACGCCATCGCTGGCGGGAAGAACTGGACATATTACCTAGCGGCACCCTGTAAAACCGAGATCCAGCCCCGGGGGTGAATCCCTGTCACGACTACACAGTACATTACCACAGCCAGAATTTTTTTTTAAACCCAGTTTTTGCCAGGATCGGACTCAAAGAAACCCTCGCTTCCAATGATCGAATAAATGTACCGACACCCAAAGGAAAAAACCCAGGGCTGTGCCTGAAGAGCTGCGTCTCGCTCCACGGTCTCTGCTCTGAACTTGCACGCGGCCGGCGGGTAACGTCAGTCTGTAGTCGGTTGATCTCGATGGAGGAAAACACAGAAGATTGGCTTTAATTATACTAACAACCTTTAATTTGGCTTTTAGAGGTTGCGTGCTGTGTCTCCTGGCCGCCATTCTGCCTGAGACGGTTGTCAGCGCCTATAATTACTCCTTTTAGGTACAGACACATTAAAATATAGGCATGATTCAGCGCTGCATCCCACCAGACGGGGTGGTGAGCACAACGCCCCACGCACCCCCGGGGCAGCGCGTCTCAGACGTTTAAAGCCAAGCCCCCCTTGGAGTTGCAATTTTGTCTGCGCCCCCCCACCCAGAGAGACGCAGGAGAACCAGGCGCCGCTGGCCCCAAAATGGGGTGGGGGGAATATTACATTTGTGCAAAACAAAGTTTTAATATTGTGTATAAACGGGACTGGCAATGTTATGGAGGACTCGTCACTGTTGCTGCACGGGGTGAATGAGCCCTGGGAGCCCAGCCCGGGCAAGCTCCCTCTTGTCCTCATCACGTGCGACTGTCTGACACATCGCTGAAGAGAATTGAGCTTCCATCACTGCGGTGCCACAGCGCGCCGCTCGAGCCGGCAGGACTCGAGGTGCTGAGTGACACCTGGACTGGTGCCCACCAGCCCCGCCCTGCGCAGTGGGGCGGCTCGGGGCGGGGCTGGGAGGGCGGGGCACCTTGAGGCGGTGCGATTTGGGATTGGTTGCGGAGCGCGGCCGCCTCTTGTCTATTGGCGGCAGTCGCTGCCTGTCATAGCCTAC